CTGGAGTATAATATTCGAAAAATACGCAACACATTCTATCATTGTACCTACAGGTAAAGCTTCGAAACGAGCTCACTGTCACGTGTGTTGTCTTTCGTACAAAAATACTTTGCATGTGTGTGTGTGCCTGCGCGCGCAGATTCGACCTTTTCTTTAAATCCAAAGATTTATAGCGTATTCGAAGCGAAAACATTTTCATGTTAATGCTTAACACTCGCCACTCGTGTATTTAGAAAATACATATGAATAGCGAATGCGTGTTTCACTAATATAATGGAAATTTGCTAAGCAAATATATGATTGTACCTACCTACATAGACTATATAAAAAAAATACTATTTTGGTAGAAACAATATTGTGTTAGCATAGACTACAATATATTTTAACATATCCCTCGCTAACCTAATCTTATCCTTTATCACGCGCTACTGTACTATTCCCACATAATTTTGTGTAGTATCTACCTATCATATGATGATGTTATAGTCTTGTGTTTCTGTATTTCAGATAATATCGTTATTGTCATATGATTTTTATTATTTGCCCCATAACAATTATTATTTTTAATGAATTATCGCAAAAATTTCCGTTTTTAAATAATAAAATTCCTCTAATTGCTCTTTTTTTATTGGCGCGATTTTTTTTTCTCTCAAATGATTCGAGGTTTATTTTAGTTATTAATTTCATTCACTTTGAAGGGTTTATGTTACCACTATATCGTTTATTTATTTAATTATTTAGTTAAGTTTATAAAGAACGTTATGCATTACATGTTTCCGGTCTAATAATTATCGAGACGTTGTTCAGTGTTTAACTCGCTTAAAAATAAGTTTATTCTTTGGAAATTAGACAATAGACAGCTTATACCAATACATTTTTTAAAGTACCTTTATAAGTTCATGAAATAAATAATTTTCTAGTAAGTTTTAAATTAGTACGTTATTTTTGTTATTATCTTTTGAGTGAATAGAGTTAATATCGCCTTATCGTAAAACGGTGTCAATAGTTTCGAGGCATAATAGAAAATAAATTTACGTAAGTTTTAAGTTCTTATAAATAATTTTTTTATAGCAAAATAATTATTTTTCGTTTAAATATAAATTTTTTTCAAATTTAATTAAATAAAGTTTATAAAAACAAATTATGCTTTTTATTTTTGAGATATTTATGTTTCAAAATAAAATTCTTAATGAGAAATCTTGTATTAAATTGTTGTATAATGTAAACAGTCGTCAATGTTATTTGTATTGTTTTTTTTATAATACAGAGAGGATTAAATTTTAGCAAGTAATATGTTTTTATTAAAGTAAATCAGGCCTATGAATCTGATGTGCTGAGGCAACAACAACTTTATAACATATAACGCCACCAAACAACAGTGCGAAGACTCCAAGTCAGTCTGGGAGGAGTCCTGGTCAGTCATGTCAGTCATTTTATATTTTTCTTTTCTTTTTTAAGTATTATATTTTTTTTGTTTTTAATTTAAATAAAAATTATTTGTTTTTTTTAATACGTAAAAGAGTTCGATTAATTTGAAGGTAAGTATCAAGAAGTTTGTGGTAACAAAACTTTAGCAAGACATTATTATATTTATTTCTCTTCCAATACTCAGTGGTCAGTCGATAAATAGTACAATTTTGTCGAGGTTTAAGAGATCCCACTCTCAAACATCCAGTAGTCAATTGTTCGAGAGTAAAGCAACCTTAGAGTTATAGAGTATAAATCCTGCAGACTCTTATTAAACTATCCTTTGGACTGTACTCCTTAACGTGGTTACCAAAGGACGGTTGAGTAAGCTCTTGCCGCTGGTATCTATATTTGATGGTTTGGGAATCGGAAACCGAGATTCCTCTTATATGCGTCTAGCCATTGCTTGGTGTATACGACAAAATCATTAATCCTTGAAAATTAATCTTAACTTAACTTGAACATTTTATAAATTTGAAATCATAAAATAATTAACATATTTTCGCGATTTTGTTAAATCATGTTAAAATTTGATCAAAACATTTTTATAAAAAAAATCGTTTTTTTTTTATCTTTATTATTTTTAAATAGCTATTATAAAATGTAAAGAGAAACTTTATTTTATATTATCAAGTTTTTTTGATCGTGCTTACATTTTTCAAATGCATCGAAAAGCAATAACAAATACAAAAATAAAGGAAAAAGAATAAAAAAAAAATAAAAAAAATGAACAATTAAAATTAATTATTATTCAGAATTTAAATTATTTTGACATTTTTTGTTGTAGGTTTGTGTAGTATATATTGGATAATTATTTTATGTAATACATTTTTTATTACATTTTAAACATTATTTGATTCATATTTAAGCATAATCAAAATTAAAATACCGTCAAACTTTTCATATTAACTAAAATGCATTTAAGTTTACACTTAAAATATTAGTTCAAGATATTTGAACCTATTTTTTTTTTATTTATTTACTTTTTTTTTGAATTGTTGTATAAAAAAATTATATTCATTTTAGATTTTAAGTAATTTTTTCTAATATATTCTGATATTTTAGTATATGGAGTTGAACCTATGTTATTTTGACAACATAAGTTACGGTCATCGTATTGCTTTTTTAAGTATTAGACGGATATGGTATTAGGTTTTTGTAAGTAAGAATATACAAAATGTATCTAATTACATATGTTTAATATAGGCAATTATAGATATCTAAATTTATATAGATACAGATATGTTTTTATTATGCTACTATTGCTACTACATTTTAAAACGTTACTGATATTAACCTGTCAAAGTTAAATGAAGTCAATTTATTAGCTATTTATGTAGAAACGTCATCACTCAATAACTGTTTCTCTTTAATATATATTTTTCAGTTATCAATATTGTAATAATGTCGTACTATTGAAAAGGAGTAACTTACACTTAAAAAAGATTTGATCAGAATACATGTAAATTAAATTTTGATTTTTATGTTACAATACTTGATGGCTTATTAATAAAATATTTGCATAAATAATGGAAATATTATTATTTTCATTTAATGAAAAAAACCAAATTCGTAAAATGTTAAGATATGTACAGAGATTTTAGAAATAAATACCTATATGTATCGCTGTCTAATATATTTTTAAACTACGATATCGATCATACTTGTAGTACCTACTATATACCTTTATCCTTCCTAGGATTGTTCCCCAAGGTTTTACTAATTTATTTATAATGTTGGGAGATTGAAAATACTATAGATTGAAAATGTAGTGTTTGGATTTAAAATATTTTCTAATGTCTAGGACTAAATAAAAAGACTAGGAAATAGCTTTGCTGTATAGTATAGTTACATGAGCTTATCTTTTTCCAATTAATTTTAAAAATACTGGGAATTTTTTTCTATTGACCCCCCCAAAGTATCAACTAGGACCATTTTGTTACTAGAAATTACCATCAAAATATGATTGATGCATTTTTCTGTTATAAAACGTGATGATAACAGACACACACACAAAATACATGAATGTAGAATCAATGTATTCATTGTCCTCCTTAAAATCTAAAATAAAAATAATTAAAAGTTAAGGTATGAATAAAATTATATATATATATATATTTATGTAAGAAACGATATTGTATAACATTGTATTATTAGATAAAAATCCATTACTTTTTTTTTTTATAAAGGTTAAGCCGTTTTTTAATTATATTATATATTAGACTGTTTAGTACTTAATGCATTAATATACTTGGGTCCTAGATACTTGAATCAACTCGTAAAATTAGTCAGATTTAAATTTAATCATATCAATTAATATTATTGCATCAGATTTTTGACCATTGTGGTTAATACTTATTAAAATAACATAATTACTATATCTACAATATATTAACATGGGCGTCTTCTTATAGGTTTGAGTAGAGCATGTATCGAACAATATATATTAAAGGCGTTTATTAAAACTTGTATAAAAATAATTTCCTGATGTAACAAGTCAAGCTATTATTTGATGGATTCTTTATTCTGGGCTTCTTCATCGATAATCGATATCAATCTATGGTATTACTTTGAGTTGTTTTTATAGAGAAACTAATATTCACAAAATCTGGATCAAGGCTGAATTGGAAGGTAATAATTAACGATTCTGTAAGAAAAATATATAGATGTTTAATTTTTTTGTATTTTATAAGCAATGTTAGTGGTGATACGATGATTTGAAAATTCAATGAAAGAACATAAGGGTATAGTTATAGTGGGTACATATCAATTGTGACCTGAAAAACATAATATATAGAAATATATAATAAATGATAAATAAAGAATTCGTTGAATTTATAATTTTAATATCTATAATCATGTAATATTTCTAAATATTTCTAAAATATTAATATATATTTTTGATTTAACTAGAGAGTTCAGATTAAGTTATATTCAAAGTTTTACTTTAAAAATATCTATCATTCTTATTTTTCAAGTATGAACATGTAGGTAATAATATTTATATAATTTGAATTTTGAAATGGGTCGGTGTCGGGTGCAATATTATTGATTTACCGAATACCTTTTTTTAATTTATTTTTATCAAATTTTATTTTTTATTTTCTCCTTTGACTTTTGGTACAAATTATGCGTGTCCAAAATGAATACAGTCCCAGAGTTGGCCTTCCCCTCCTGGTCAGGCTCAGGAACATTTCGATTACTGACCGAAATTCTGCAGGCAAGTATGAGGTAATATACATGAGCAGTTAGCAGCAGGATTTGGCGACCGATCGACTGGCGATAGACACACGCACACACATGCTTTTTGAACAGACCCTTTGAAGCAATATTATTACTGCAAGTACATAGGTATATATAACTAATGTTAGTATATATATTGGTTGCGGGGATGTTTCGTTTAAGGCAAGGGGGATAGCGTTCGCGCGGGCGCGCGTGCAGGGCGGATGGTGTAAAAGATTGCGGGGGCGGGACCGACGCGGAGTTAGTGTATATAACGTGTTGTCATGGGGTGTCAAGCCGCACACGACGTTTAAAAAAATATCGCGGCTGACTATAGTATTTAATATTATCTATAATAACATATTAGATCCATTTCCAGCACATCTCGTCATCGCATGCGGCCGTCGTTGGTCTGATATCCGCGATCGAGTCGATTTTTTTTTCGCAACAAAAACATAATATTTTCACTCTCCGGCACCACACGCGCACGTTAGTGCCACAACTTGGATCCGTACACCTTTGAGTCGTCATCGTCGTCGTCGTCCGCACACACGGCGTTGCACGCAACAGGCTTTTGATCTGCCACTGCCTTATACGCCAACGGCACGCAAACGGCGTACACGCGTGTACATTTAACACCGTTCGTCTGACTACCGGATAACCGCAGAAAAGGTTTGTACCTTAAAAATAATAATAATAATAATAATAATAATAATAATAATAATTGTATATTTTTAAAATACTCACTCCCATAATATAATAGACACAACAGTATAGTTGATATTCTATATTTTTATAGTTTAAAGAATAATTTTTTTTTTTTTTTACTATTTTTTATTATTCAAATAATAAGCACAAGTGTCGATATAATGATGAAGACTGTGAAAAAATTTGGTTTTAGATTTTTCAATATTCTTAGTATACCTTTTTAATTACTTATAAACTATTGCGTAATCAGCATAATTTTAGCTACAAAAATATTCGTGTACAATGGAATGATTTAGTTTTGAAATATAAAAAGTTTAACTGCAAACATAAAAATTATTTAATTATTTTAATGTACACGTAATTATTAAATATACATACTTACTAAAATAATTAGATAAGATTTTTTAGTTAAAATACGTTATCAATCAATATAATTTTCAATATTTATAAATTAGTATATTAATATATTATACCTACTTATCAGCAGCATTCTTTTGAAATATTTTAAAATATATTTTATTTTCAAATTCTGAAGAAAAAACACGGAAAAGCAGTGTTATACAATAATAAGTTTAAATAATAAAAACGATTTAAATAATAATAATTAGTCATACTGAAAATATACGTATTTTGAAATTTATTACTGTAATATTATAATGTATAATATTCCTGTTTTTCTGTTATTATTTAATCATAAAATACTAAACATTGAAAATATATTTATTGAGATAGTAGAGTTTATTGTTTAATATTTGCAGATAATGCATTATTCATTTTTTCCTTGAAGGCAGTTTTTTTAGTAAAATTTTTGTACTGTCAATTAATAATTAATTAAATTAGTCCTTTCCACATAACCGATTAAAAAAAAAAGTTATATGATTTCTTCTTAACTAGTTAACTGTACTTGCCATGATACAAATTTGTTGTTTAATTAATTTAACTCATTGATATTAATCTGTTGATTAAGTTGTTAACATAGAGATACTTATAATTCTATTGTTCATACCCCCTATAATATACTATGTACAAATTATATTCGAAGTAATATTGAATATAAATCTCAATGTTGTAATTCAATAAAGCTAGTTGCTTGACAAAATATCAAGTAGTGAAAAAAATGTTTTGTTAACATTACATTTTTAAAATATTTAAAAAAATTTTCATGCATAATATATTTGTATATTAAAATAAAAAATGTTTATTTTTTTTAAATTAAAAATAAATAAGAATTATAGTTTGGATATAAATTAATAATTGTTGATAATATTTAAGAACGTTATTAAAGAATAATTAAAGTGCATTTTTAAATTATATTACAAAAAACCAATTAAACGATAATTTTAAGTGTAATATATTTATCTAAGTAAAGTATTAGTTATTCAAATTTTAATAGTAAATAGTGTTGATAAATAAATAGAACACTTTGTGGCAAATTTTTATCAATTATAGTTATTAAAATGTGGGAACAAATTTAAATTTTAGTCAGGATATTTTTTATATTATTCGACTTTTGAAAAATGACAAACACTGTAATTAACTTCAGACTACTCCATTCGATATCATCGTATTATTCGTATTATCATGATATCGTAATATTTAATTGTTAATACACAATTATTTGTCAATGTTTGGTAGTTGAATAAAATAAATTTTAAACGTTTTTTCATTCAAGATGATAGTTGTATAGCTTGAAATTATTTTAGTTGTCTTTAGTTCTAAATTTATGGCTATATTTTATAAATTTGAAATTCTATGAAACAATATGGAAATGTTATTATAGAAATAAATAAGAATCAATAATGTTTTGTTGTAATACATAATAATAGTTAAATTCTAGGGATAGCTGATTTTATGTATAATTATAATGTTTTGACGATATAAGTTTTTATCACAATATTTATCTATTTCTATCATCACATATAATATTGTAATTTTATTCAAGATAGGTATAATTACATAGTGTATAAAGTTCAATAAAAGAAAAATTATTTTCAAAAATACAAGTAAAATTAAAAGTTATAATATAAGTGTAGTAGAAGTTTATAGAAATACCATTTAAAGTTTAATATTAAAAAAAAAATCGTTATTTTATACGTTCATCAAATTTTTGTATAAAAAATTTGAAACTTGTAAGCATAAATAGATCGAATAATGACAAATTTCTACTTCTAGAATCCAAATTATTGCGATATTCTATATCTAATATTATTTCTAGATTCAATTGACTGGTTAGATATTGAGAGAGGGGAAGCGTGTTTGTACTTATTTAGAAAAATCTCTATTGCGCTTAATAAAATTAAATAACGTTAAAATAGTTTTTGTGCCTCATATTTATACTTTATAAATCAATAAATTTAGCAACATTGCTAAATAAATAGCATAAAATATATTATAACTATTTTGGTTAGGTTAAAAATTTTTCATCGTTATTGTCTGATCGCTTTAATTTTTATTGTTTTTATTTTAAAATTATTTTTGTTACTTTGTAACTAAACATTTTTATAGAATTAATTGGTGATGTAGATATATCTCTAAATTTTTTAATGCCTTGATGTTTTTTATCGTGGCTTTATTTTTTGTTTGTATAATTTTAACAAAATTTATGTATCTGTTTAAAATTCTATAAAGAGTTTTATAAATTAAATGATTGACAGATGTACATTAAAAAAAACACAAATTAAAATGCTTGTGAAATAATTTATACGCGTTTGTTGTCTGTGCTTAATTATTACATCTGTATGCCTATAATTGTGAGGAAAATACAATATTTTTGCTTTTAAAATTTTCAACTAAATAATCAGATGATGATTGTATTTTTTAATATAATTTTCGAAATTAGTTTTAACAATCAATCTGATATTTCAAGTGGCTATAAAAATGGAAGGTCAAAACAATATTGTAAACATATTCCATCTAAAAAAGTGAAATAATATGCTAGTGGAAAGTTTTATTTCAAATGGCAAAAACTTAAAATTTAGATTTGAACATACATGATTCATATTTTCGAATACTAATATAAATATAAATACAATATTTATAGGCTTTATCACATTTTGATAGTAACAAATTAAATACCAGAGGTATATAATGATTATTATAAAAGTCATTAATGGTAAAAAATTTAAAGTAAAATAGAGTACAACAAATAAAATATAAATATACCATGAACGTATACTAAGTGATTATTTTATCGGACAACACTTAATATTTCAAAATCTTTTAACATTTAAAAATATTATTTTTATATAATTTCTAGACAATATAAAACATTTTATTAATTTATTTTTTTATTCAATTTTTTAATATTTTTTTTGTTATATTTAAGTTTTTTACTTTTTTAAATAACATATATTTTTAATGTTATATTCTAAATCAAAATATTTTTCGGAGTATTTCGATACACACATTTTGAAATTCATATGAATAGCTTATGAATTATAACTTATAAGTAAGTATTTAAAGTTTAGGTAAGCGGAGTAATAGAACAATATTTTGCTGGATATCCCCGTAAACTATAAGTACTTATAATTCATAAAATTATCAACCGAATTTTCATTTTTATTTATCGAAATACTCCAAAAAATATTATGCTTCAGAATATGAAATTAAAAATGTATTTTGTCATTCAAAAAAGTAAACATTTTAAAAAACACAATAGTTTTTAAAAATAGATAGTTTTATTTTGACTAGAAACTATTTAAAACTTTATTTAAATATATTCATCACTCCGTTTAGAATCTAAAAAAAATGTAGTTTTGTAAATAATGAATGCTGTTCGTTAAAATAACTGCCTTAAATAGTATTAACCATACTCAAAAATTATAAATTTATAGTATATGCAAAATGTAAAAATTATAATATTTTTTCTCTATCATTAACTGCAGCTGACATTGATTCGCTTTTAGATGATGAAATATTTTTTGATCGTAAAAATACTTGAATTTTAATAAAATCTTTTGAATTATTTTTTGTATGTTTCTACAAATGAATATTCTATTACAAATTAATTTTCAAATCCTCGTAATCTAACGTATAAAAACTATTCTTTATAATTTTAAAACTTATAATTTTAATTGAACGATCGTCATGTCTTTGATTTTTTTTATACACATGTAGAATAAATTGACGTTTAATATTTTTTTAAATTAACTTTTCATGTGATATGACTTCTTAAACTGTTTATTTAATCTAGTTTGTAGTTATAGTAAAATACTATCTAAGAAAGGAATATAAATTGATACTCGATAGTATTCTTCAAGACAAATTTTACTTTTTTTTTATGGTTACTCTATTAGTTTGTCTTCCACATACTGAACATACGGGGTATTTTTATTTCAATATTTACTTTGGTAGCAATTGAAGTTACTTCATTAAATATATCTTTGAAATGGTTGTCAACATATTCTCGAAAAGTTTTAAACCTCTCTTTACTACAGCGACATCAGCTAAAGTTTTTGATAAATCTTATTTTTTACTCTGTAAAATTTGACTCAAATTTACTGTGTAAGAAAAACAAGTAACCACCACTTTTATTGTAATTAAAAATTTACTTTTTGTTGTAGCACTTTCTAACACTATATAGCCAATCTTGACGTTTTTCTACTTGAATCTCCACATGATGACATTGTATGCATATTATAATAAACAGTAAACCGTATGTCAATTAAAATACACATTGATAATTACAAATAATTTTGCATATAAATGCTAATAATGTTATTTAATATTTCAAATATTTCAAAATTTAAATAATAACAATTGGTTGGATTATTTTATGCGTATAAACTATACGCAGAAATAATAAAATAATAGAATATTAGTTATTTAAAACAAATGATTGCTAATATTCTGACTGTAGATTTAATTTTTATTATTGTGTATTTATATAATAGTGAAGTACCTAATATTGTAATATATTATAGTTTAGCTATATAACATAATAAATATTTGTTTTAGTTTTAATA